AGAGTTGCACTAAATCCAGACTTAATTGAATCCTGATTCATAAAAACTGAGGCCAAAGAAAAATGTTCAAAGGTAAACATCCATTTTGCATTACTATGACACCAATCTTTTATTTTCTTTTTCAGTAGAGTTTAAAGGCATCAGGGCTTTAGGGAATGCCATCATTAGTGGCTACAGGTGAGAAGTCAGGTGGGAAGTAAGGAAGACATCAACTAACTTCTTCAAATATGCCTGTCTCCACCAGGAGATGTGCAAGAGCACAGATGAACTTGTTCTTATTCTCCCTGGCACAGTTGTCCATCTGCAGGAAGAGTTTATTCTTCAAGTCCATCTTCACAAGCAGGAGTGATCGAAGAATGACTTCCACACATAAATTTGAATCATGTGGAAACTGCCCCATGTCTACAAAGGCAAATTCACGAACACCCTTGCCGGTGTACACCATGACTCCTGTGCAACAAAAACAATAAAATCATATATCATGTTAACTGCTAGCAAGTCTATTCAAACATAAGAACATAAGATATGCCAGAATTAGGCAAATTCACGAACACCCTTGCCGGTGTACACCATGACTCCTGTGCAGCAAAAACAATAAAATCATATATCATGTTAACTGCTAGCAAGTCTATTCAAACATAAGAACATAAGATATGCCAGAATCCCATATGGCAGTTAATGCATGAAGTTTGGGCATTTCATGAGAGTTCAATCAATACCCCATCTTTACAGGGAAATAAAAGCCCTGGAATGAAGTTTAGTTTGAGCCAATTTCATTCCAAAAGCAACTAAAGAAATTAAGAAAGGATGATAATCACCAGTGATGTGAGTGATGATCTTTGGTAAGCCTGTGGTGTGTTTGTCTTCCTTGGCAAAACGCGGGATGTTGGTCTTTGCCTGGTCCATGCCATCAATCACCATTGTGAGCCAATCATCATTCCTGAGAGCCATAACTTTGTGGTCTGCATAATTGGATCGCTGTACTCTGTTGAAAGGAACAATATATGCAGTTAGTAGCCAGTTTCATGAGTGAGAACAGAAACTTCAAATGAAATGGTACATTATCTTACTCAGCTGTCTTCAAGTGTGCATCTCGAAGTGATTCCAACTTTTTCCGTGTGTCTCCATTTGCTTTTCTCAGCTTCACCCGAAATCCTTCACATTTGCCACAGCTGGGGAAAGCATTTGGCTAAAAAGAAACAAGATAAGGTATGATGCTGCACTACAGAGGACACAGATCATTTCAAGGTCGGTCTTTCATTCTTGGGCCACCCAGGTGAGATGGAAGGGAGCAGGGAGGGGAGGATGTTTATTTTAAATAAACATGCTGGGGGAACGTGTTGAGAAAGTGGAAATAAAAAACCTATGGGTGTCAAAAAAAATTCAGGAAAATGGGACTTAAAAAACAGTTCCCTAATGGGTTTTAGCAAAAAAAAATTTCCTGCTGAAATGTAGACTCAGGGAACTCCATGCCATCCAGTTTCAGCCTCATACCTTTCCCCTTATTGCTGGCGGTAAAAAAAAATGTATTTTGATTGGCAAGAAGATGTTATGCTCACAATAGACTATTCCAATTTCCACATACTAGACGGCCAGCGTAGCGGCCGCAAGACGCTAGTTTATTTTACATCCGCACACAGAGGGAATGTTCTGAATCTATCAATATATGTATAAGGGAAGAAGAGCTGTACTAAGAAATTCATTTTTCCTTTAATCTACCATGCAAGCTTTTGGCAAATATGTTAAAGAGAAACTATTCTATGAGCACTAAGCCAGCTTTACTTTTTCAGGCAATTATAGTAGATTAACCATACATTTTTTCAGCCCTTCAACTGCAAAATGAATCTCTTGGTGTCAGCAAATTTCTTTTCAGCCCGAAATAAATTCTTTAACTTTTGATTGAGGAAACTTGCTCGGCGAGACAAGATCATATAGGTATTGATTCGGTCGGTATCGCAGAACAAAGAAGCATACTATGGGGTATTTAAATTCCAATGAAATATAAACAGCCAAAAGTAACAATAAGACGCCACGGACATCATTTCCAGACCTTTTTGGCAGAGTCACTTTCAGTGTATCACCAACAATGACATATTGAGCGAAACTTTCTTCAAGGAGAACCATTCTCGGTGACTCTCCAGGAAGTTTCACCAAGGCCTGCTTGTAGTCTTCCACATTCTGAAGAGCATGAGAAGGAAAATGATAAGAATGTAGACAAAACAGCTCGTAAACAAAAGCTTGAATTCAATCTGTGCCAAAAATTCATTTTTGTTGGAATCTAATAAAGAAAAATTTACCAGCTAAATTCAGGAATTATTTATATTCAATCAAATACATGACCATGAAACAATTCAGGTAAAAACTGTATTGAGCTGTCCTATTTTGCTTCATATAACATAAGTACCATTGGTATTTGTGGTATGAGGCGAATAAAGGTGACTCACTAAAGCTACAATGAGATGTTGCAAGTGAATATTTTTCTCAGAAACTGATTTCTCGAAGTACAGCAGGTGACATATCTTCAACACAACAACAGAAGCAATGTGAGATTAGGAGCGATATACACAATCGAATTCTTTCTTCTCAGAAATAGCCCTTACACTCTCTTTTGCATATGTTTATTCTTCGCACAGAAATTGAAGCAGGTGCTACAAGTTAATTTTCAGTGGTGTAGGGAAGGGAGGGTTGGTTAGGGGGTCAGAACCCCCCCTTGGGCTTCCAGGTGATTGACAGACAGACATATTTCAGCCTTCCTTGGAGATGTCAGTTTTAAGTATCCCCCTTCGAGGAAAGTCCAATTTCCATCCACAGACCCAAGATGCCAGACTTCGATTTCTTCAAAATTGTAAATTCTGGGTGGTGGAGCTAACCGTAGGGTTAGGATGTCTACCTGGTCTCAACTCCTCCCTTGCGGATTTTCTGCCTACGCCACTGCTATTTTGGCCTAGTCCATAGCAATAACTCCAAAAATTGAAAATAAGTAATGCTTCTTATGGATTAAAATACACTAGCAGCCTACTGCCGCTACGCTGGCTTTCTAATAGGTGGCAATTCAAACCGTCTATTGTGGGCATAACGTCTCCTTGACAATCCTCGGTCACCTCATTACCCATTTGGAACTGAACCGCTTCATTACATGTATACACATACGATGTCTGATCAAAAAGTTCTAAGACTTAATTTTTTATGACGCTGTGGTGACTCTTTCTGGCTGCTGATGGTTATATCCTTTAAACTAGTCCTCTTCGGCATCTACACAATTTTCCCGAGTTTCTTCAGCCGCTGGAAGCATTGCTGACACTCATCTATTGGAATCACCAGCAGCGCTAGCGGCGCGTTCACAATTTTGATTTGAATGCCTAAAATCTCCTTCATTTCAGCACATTCTTTAGTTTTGGGAACAAAAATAAATTACTAGGAGCAAAACCCCGACTTGTTGGATGGCTGATGAAGCACGGGATTGCGGGGTAGGTCAGAAACTGCTGAAATTGCAAAAGAAAGGAAATCTCAGAACACTTAAAACAGCATTACGAACGCGCCGCGAGCGCTGCTGATGACTCAAAAAGATGAGTGTCAGAAAGGATTCCAGTGGCTGAAGAAACCCCAGAAAATTTGTGTAGATGCCGAAGAGGACTAATTTAAAGGATATAACCATCAGCAGTCAGAAAGAGTCACCACAGCGTCATAAAAAATTAAGTCTTAGAACTTTTTGATCAGACCTCGTATAGCTTACAGTACATAGGGAGATTCTGTTCCTAAACACCATCATCATGATATTCCAGCTGATTGCCACGATCGTTCATTGTAAACGGATTAGCACGTTTTCATGAGACTCAAGACAACTTTGCCTATTTCGTCTCCCTAGCACATTCACTACTCTTGCATCACCGATTAGCTCATGTGCTATTAGCGTTAGCATATAGTATGGACACCAATAATTCTGAAACAGTGCGGACCATTTCCAAGAACTTGTTCGAAGGCACAAAGAGAATTTAGTACTTTTCCGGCACAATGCTAGCGACTAATTCCAGAAAATGCCTCGCCACCACATTACCCTGAGGCTCTGAAAGTGTTGCTCACTGGTGCTATAGTGTGAGTTGCAGCAGGAGAATTTTTCCGTTGTGAAACANACTAATTCCAGAAAATGCCTCGCCACCACATTACCCTGAGGCTCTGAAAGTGTTGCTCACTGGTGCTAAAGTGTGAGTTGCAGCAGGAGAATTTTTCCGTTGTGAAACAAATGCCTTCTCAATACATCAAAATGTACAGCCTGACAGTGCTCGCTGCGCAAACGACTGTCGTGATTTGTGATGACATGGAGAGGCCTGACAAAATGTCCCAAGTTCCGTGGTGTAATGGTAGCACACCTGACTGGCAAGCTAGAGGTCCGGGTTCAATTCCCTGCCGCCCACCGACTTTCGACACCTGAGTGCTGCGCTCCTTGCATCAAGTTGCCCAGCAGGCTGCATGGCTCTCCTATTCCTAAGCTCAGCATTCGCTGCCTCTTGCTGTTCAGCCTTACGTGCAAGTGGGTACTGTTCATCAGTCATCCTAGCCATTATGGCTACCACCTCCTAAAGCATCGATTTAGTCACTTCGCACAGCAACTGCAGTGGCAAACGTTGTTTCCGCGCCAGCATCAATCGTTTATTATATGCAGCGACTGACTCATCGCCGTCCTGTGGGACCTCTTTCAACGTTTTTTTTTTCACGTTCAACTTCACCTCGGAAATATCGCCACCATTTTGATGGGAGGTGCACCTGGTTTGTGCGACATATGAAGCAGAGTCTTTTTAGACTATTATTTGGACTTCATCAATCATGAGAACTCAAATAAATCGGCCATGACATGAAACGCAAACAGAAAACTATTGCATGGAAGCGATGGCGCGAACCGCCACATCTGACTTAACGGAAAAAAATAGAGAAGAAAACACCTCAGCACAGAATGTATTCAAATGAACTTGCAGTCAATCAGTGAAAAAGGTGAGACGCATTCAGTTAGTAGCACCCTTTGCTTGAAACAGCTAAGTTTGAAGCGTATGGAAATAAAAGGATGAGCCAAAGCCTATGACTCACACTGATATAGCCCGATGGACCTGGCGCTAAGTACGTTTGATGGCCAAGCCTTTGGTCTAGTATAGCATAGCCCCATGGACCTGGCGCTTTGAGTGGTGGATGGCCTAGTGTATGGCCTAAAATGATCTAGTCTCGTAGGCCTCGCGCGTTGCGGTGATAGCCACCACCACAACTTCTGCCCAGCACACTTAATACTCTTGCATCATTGATTAACTCATGGGTTATTAGTATTAGCTTATGGTACAGGTACCACTGATTCTGAAACAGTACGGGCCATTTCCAAGAACTTGTTCGACTTTAGCACAGAGGAAACTTAGCGCATTTGCCACAGAATACTAACGAATAATTCCTCACCTCCACATTAGCACCAGTGAAAAACAATGTGAGCGTCAAGTGTGAGTTGCAGCAGAAGCACTTTTCCTTTGTGGCAGCAATGTGAAACAAATGTCCCCACCCTACAGCAAAATGTACAGCCTGACAGTGCTCGCTGCGGAAAGCCGCAACTTGAAAACGTGGCAACTGACGCACTAAGCTCAGGAAAAAAGTCAAATTTCCAGAATATTTTGGCGGGGGATATTTCTAATTTCTTCGTCTTCGTTATGTTTTCAAGAATGTAACATATCGTGGCGAATCGGGTAGAAATGGAAAAGTAGCCTTTGTTTACGGCCTGCCCACGGATTCAAGATATAGAATATGCACGGAAGTAAGATGGTTCTCGGAAGAGAAGAAGCAGAACTCCAGAGAACGAAGCGCACATCTGGCGTCAATTGACGACCGCAAGTAATGGAACATTGAACATTGACAGTTTTTATCCAGTGTCACAGGGAACGCGTTTCGTGGAAAACCTTACATTTTACTGGTCAACAGTGCACTGTTTTCCCTCGCGCGGTTCATCGAGTCTCGTGCTAGCACTGTACAAGTGAAAAGTCTTCATCGTCATCTATGCATCGTCTCACTCTGGCCTGAGGCGTCCCGAATGAATTCCATACATGTAAGCACCAGCGGTTCAAAATGGAATCGAGCCGTTGTCGTGTTTCAACACGTGCATCTGGAATGAATCATGTATGGGCGGGGGGAAAGGGGACGGGGTTCGAAAAAAAGACACGCGGAAAAAAAATCATCTGAAATGAAAATGTAAAAAAGCCGCCATGGTGGTTGCATCGTAATTCTTCATCTCTATGTGATCATACATATATTATTCAAGACATTCGCTTGACGATGTTGAGAAACATTCATGCGGGGATGTGGCTGATTATTATCCATGTGTTTAATATTTAAGGTTGAATTGACACTAATTATTCAAGTAACAGTTTTCGTTTCCATTTAAAATACAACGATGGAAGATGTAAAACATCCCTTGATTGGAAGCAATTCTTAACTGAAATAAATAAAAATTATTTTCCTACTTTCATTATGAAGGGAAGGAAGATTCTGTTCAGCTATAAAAATGGACAGTCGTGGAATTCTTGAGCAGACTTTGGGGGGAGGGGGGCGATGGGCGGGTCAGGGGAGGGGATTTGAGAAGGGGAGCTAATCCTGATCCTCTCCCCCCCGGAAAAAATGAGCGAAAGTGGATAGGAGGGATATAAAATACAAAAACTTACATGAACCTAGAGCAAGTGTTATTTAAGAAGAAATTCCAAGAACTGTTCAGAGAGTGCAGTCATCTCACCCTGCAATACGGCCACAATCAAAAGATTTTATTTGGGGGTTGGCCATACAATTCATTTTTAAGGAATGGGCTGAGGTTGATTTGTTTTATTTTTCACAACATGTCAGTGAAGTTGGATCAAATTACATAACATGAATATCACTAAATGTCTCAAAATGATTGAGTCTTTCAACCTGACCTGAACAAAACAGGATGGCACTTTTCTGCCTTTGCCAAATCTGGGGTCAGTTCATCGCCTCTCCAACCCCTAAATCTAAATCTAAATCTACATCTAAATTTTAGACTAAATATTAGTCTGAATATAAATCAAGATTTTAATCAAAACTCAATATACTCTAAAAGCAGCCTGAAAGCAAAATATTTAGATTTAGACTAAGGTTTAGCCTAATATTTATATTTATATTTAAGTTTAGTAGAGGCGATGAATTGGCCCTAGGGTATCTTTTTTTTCAAGGTGTATTTTTCCTAAACCCAGCGGGAAGGGGTAATCAATTGCTCGTCCTCATCCCAAGAAAACCACGGTTTCTTGTTTTTTTAACTTCGTAATTTTGCTTCTATTACATTTTACTATCACAAAATGTCAAGCTTTCGAAAATCGTAAGTTGAAAAAATAAATAATGAAAGGGAATAGTAATTTATATACCAAAAACCACTTTCGAGGCTTCAGAAGGTAAGAGTTCCGAGTCCGAAGAAACCAGCAGGCGGAAAAAAAAGAAAAAAATCTGACGAGATCTCAAACGGATGCGATAAGAGGAAGGGCGACCGCGTCGGAAGGACCAGAAGGGGACGCCTGAGGCCGGCCTAGTTCCGCTCCACAAATTCCACAAATATGAAAGAATGGGCATATTCCCGAAATCACGTCCGCACGGAAGCAAGGCCGTCCAAGGAAGGGGTCGGGATCGAAAGGAAAACTTAGAAAAAAGAGGGCATAACTAGAGTGAGAAGAAACCGAGGGAACCTCTACTTGGACACAACCTCAAGTCACTTGTGACTCATTTCATCCGATGACATCATGCCGATCCCATGCCATCGGGAGGAGCGAATGACGAGAGGGATAAACTGGTGCACTCACAATCCAAAGGAGGCAACAGATCTCTCTCTCTCTCTCGCGTCTGTCCCGTGTGAGGCTTCTCGGGAAGGCGGGGCAGGGGGAGATGACGTGCTATTCATTCCGTCTGAAAGTGAGAGAATCTCTCGTTTTGGAGATATGTTGACCACGAAATTCGGACTTCGGAAAACAGTGCTAGCATCTACATTTTCCGAAAACTCGAAGGTTTCTCCTAACCGCTTGATAACTTAGATCGAGTACGGTTACATTCCAACCTCTCCCCACGAATAATTTACACTGCTTACTATCTTTTCATCGTGGTGGTGCACTGGCTCCAGTCCCGAATAATCTGACGCTAGATAACCAGACGATGTGCTATGGTTCCTTTGCAGAGAAGCCGCTTGATGTATTCACGATCCCTCGCTTTTGGAATGACAACTGACTGCAGTGAGTTGGGCGCTTTGATGACTTTCCCTTCGATCACGAAACATGCTGCACTTAAAAGACATTCATGGAGCGTTTAAGATGCTTTCCTAACCCACATCAATGGAATCCATCTGACAATAAGTCACCACCATTCACCATTCGCACCATTTCGCACCATTGACGATAGATGGCGCCGACGTAGTCCCGGTAACGTGTCATTTTCTGATATATGGGAATTCATTTCCGTTATACCTTCCACAAGGAAGCCGATATCTCTTTACATGAACCAGAAAGGGAATACTTGAATTCTATAAGAAATCGGTCTTTAGAGGAAACCCAGTCCAAGGAGTCAACAGGGAACTCTGACTCGAAAGATCGAGGGAGGAAGGTTCAAAGTGACTTCTTGGTGAAGAGAATGAAACGGTAAAAAAGAAAATGATCGTCATCATCTCTCTTTTGAAAAGAGAATTCAGTGTATGGATCGTCTGACTGCCGAATATAAGGTACTAGACAACACCCGCGTCCCGGGGGATCCGCTTCGCTG